TGACTACAACCAGGGGTCGGGCGGAGGGTTGTCGGCGCCGATGAAATCGGTTCCTTTTTTTATTTTTTTGTTAGTTTTTTTGTTGTAGCTGCAACCGCCCCAACCCAAGCGTAATTAGAACTCAGCACACCCAAGCGCAACTGGGGGTCGGGAGGGTTGTCTTGGTGCTAATGGGAATTGGTTCCTTTTTTGTTATTGTTTTTTGTTTTAGTTGCAACCGCCCCAACCGAAGCGCAATCGCAACTCAGTACACTGGTACATCTCCAACGTATCTACTTTCCAAACACTTTTGTCCTTGTTTTGGACTCTAATTTGCATGATTTGAATGAAACTAACCCGGACTGATGCTATTTTCAGCAGAACTGTCATGATGTTGTTTATTGTGAAGAAAACAAAAGTTCTCGGAATGACCTGAAAATCCACGAAGATAAGTTTTGGAAAATATAAAAAGTACTGGCGAAAGAATCAAGGCCAGGGGGCCCACACCCTGTCCACGAGGGTGGGGGGCGTGCCCTCTCCCTGGGCGCGCCCCCTTGTCTCGTAGGCCCCCTGATGCTCCACCGACCTCAACTTCAACTCCATATATTCCGTTTCGCCTAGAAAAAAAACCAGGGAGAAAGTTTCATCGCGTTTTATGATACAGAGCCGCCGCCAAGCCCCTAATCTCTCTCGAGAGGGCTGATCTTGAGTCAGTTCGGGGCTCCGGAGAGGGGGATTCATCGCCATCGTCATCTTCAACCATCCTCCATCACCAATTTCATGATGCTCACCGCCGTGCGTGAGTAATTCCATCATAGGCTTGCTGGACGGTGATGGATTGAATGAGATTTACCATGTAATCAAGTTAGTTTTGTTAGGGTTTGATCCCTAGTATCCACTATGTTCTGAGATTGATGTTGCTATGCTTAATGCTTGTCACTAGGGCCCGAGTGCCATGATTTCAGATCTGAACCTATTATGTTTTCATGAATATATGTGAGTTCTTGATTCTATCTTGCAAGTCTATAGTCACCTATTATGTGTTATGATCCAACAACCCCGAAGTGACAATAATCGAGATACTTCTCGGTTATTACCATAGTTTGAGGAGTTCATGTATTCACTATGTGCTAATGCTTTGTTCTGGTTCTCTATTAAAAGGAGGCCTTAATATCCCTTAGTTTCCACTAGGACCCCGCTGTCACGGGAGGATAGGACAAAAGTTGGCATGCAAGTTCTTTTCCATAAGCACGTATGACTATATTCGGAATACATGCCTACATTACAATGATGAACAGGAGCTAGTTCTGTGTCACCCTAAGTTATAGCTATTACATGAGGAATCGCATCCGACATAATTATCCATCACTGATC